ATATCTGCTTGTAATAGGATTTCTTGGTAGGAAGTGAAACCAGTGTTAGGTGACAAACAAGAGTCGTAGACATTGTTGTCTTGGAAAAGTAACTTCAAAATTATTGAATAGTTACATCCTGCTATATCATAAATGGCCATAAGCAAACAAAACGTTCTGCCCCACAGACATGGAGGTTATCGCTGATCAAATACACCAGCCTTCCTCTTTTTGTTATGTAAGGCTCTCTTACGTTTAAAGGTAGATTTCTGTTAGTGATTTTTAGTCTGGGCTCCATATTTTGTACATTTTGCGGGAATAAACTTCCTCTGTTAGCTCCACGTTACAAGCAAACCAGACGACTTAGGCTTCTGTATTTTAGTATCAGTATCCACGTAGTACATCACTTTTGATATTAATTTTATTATTAGTATGTATTGTTAGATATGGGTCGGTTAATATAGCTTGAAGATAGGAACGATCGGCAGCTGACGAAAGAAAATGGGAAATATTAGTGCTAAAAATTCTTGAGTAAGTCGAAAAATAAGTGAAACAGCAAGGTGTTTAGATGTTTACGAATTGGGGAAATACAAACAAACAAGGAGGAACTCACACTGATACAGCACCTTTGAGTTCCTTATGGTCGAGAGTAGTTAGGCAGCATCTACAGGATTTACAACTTATTCGTCTACTAGAAATAAAAACTAAAAGTATTGTGAAAGTCGAGATAATGGTGTGGATTTAAATATTTGGAAACCCAAACGTTAGGGGTAGGAGCATAAAGGCGTGACCTACTGCTGTTAGCAGGTGTAGTAGATTGTGTCTGTCATCTCGTGGTGCTTGCTCGGGTGATAATATAGATGCAGTATATCTATGTTCTGTTAATTGTTTCTGCATACTAACTTACTCCTGTTACCCTGAATGGAGCACAGGCCGCCGACCCGCATTCTCCAACAAGTCTCCCCTGGGCCTTCCTTTCCAGTTATGTCCAATTTCTGTTCATTCTCCTCGTATCTGCCTCTTTTTTTCGGTCTTCCCCTTTACCTTTCACCTTAAAGGTCCCTGGTGAGGACTTGTCTTGTGACGCATTTGGGTGCTTTCCGTTATGTATCCTATCCGCTTCTATCGCTTCTTCCTGATTTCTTCCTCCACTGCAATCTCGTTTATCCTCTCCCACAGTAGCTTGTTGTTGATGGTGTCTGGCCAACGGATCCTCAGTATTTCGCGTTATTGAATACTTGTATCTTCTGGATGGTGGCTTTCGTAGTTCTCCAAGTTTCCGCCTCATACATTAGAACTGTCTCGAAATTTGTACCGAATTTCTAACTTTGATGTTGATAGATAATTGTTTCGAGTTCCAGATGTTGTTCAGTTTTAGAAATGCAGCCTTTGTTTTGCCTATCCTCGCCTTCACACCTGCATTAGTTACACTTCGTTCGTCACGGATGATGCTCAGATGTGCAGAGGTGTTCATGTCCTCCAAGGCATCTCCATCAAGAGTGATTTGGTTGATATGCCTTGTGTTATGACGTAATGATTTGGCAATTTACAACCTACAAACATGGTGGACTTATAGAAGAGATCAAGAGTGAGAGTTAGGAAGACAGAACGTTGTCAAACTTCAGTAAGCACTATTGGCAACACAATGGATTTCAACATGTACTCCATCATACGACTTTCTTTGAGAGGAGTTGTGTTTGTTGGTTTGGCTTAAGCACCATGTAAGTTTCACTTTTCGGCTCCAAAAATAATTTCTATTGAATCAAAATTTTATAAGCTGCATATTTGCAATTTTTATTTTGTTAATAATAACAAGCTTAAAATTCACCCTCAGTTGTTTCCGTAAATTTTCGTCGCAATTGCTAAAAATAAGGGCAGCGCACACATAAAATTTAGTTTTTGTAAAGAAATGTCCATTTAAATCCTTTTAATAGCAATCACCTATAAACGAATATCGAGGAGCGGATGAATGGGATTAAAATGTTCTCGCCACTAAATAGGAAGATGAATAAGTCGCTGCATTAGTTAAGTGACTAATATTAAATCTAGTAGAATGAATTTGTGCGTAGGCTGTAGCCAGTGTTCAATCATACATGCTCGCACAATAATAAAGTACAAAGGTATAGACAGCTTATTGCTGTGTAAATGACGATGTTAAATAAGTCAACAAAGGGAGTAGAGAAGGTACTTGAGGGACATTTGCTATGTCTTGTTACCCTATATTTCCAACAGCTTACACAGGATTGTGCCTATTTCCTCACATCATTGTCCATTTTTAGGCCAGCCAATTCATCCTGCAGCCAGTTCGTTAGTTGCTTAGCCAACTGTGTGAAAAAAGTTTGTGCAACGTACTAAAGACATTGTGTTGAGGATGTTTCACCACGATTCGACGATCTGACAGTAGATGTGTCATACAGGAAGCTTCTGTTACTTGTTTTCGTCTTTTTGATTCGCTGTTTCAATATTATTTATTACTACTCGTGCTGAGGGTCAATATCTTCTGTTTGAACTTAAGCGAGTTTAAGAAGGATGATTCTTTGCAGACTGTTAAAGGAAGACATACGAGAACAGGTGTCACAACTACGATGTTTGCCCAAGAAATACGTATGTCCGAAGCAAATTGTGAGATATAGTCCAGCTTTCGGAACTCTTGAGGAGAGTACTTGTCTGAAGATGAGCTATGAGAGCTAATCTTTATAGCATTTTATGGTCTAGGGTACTGTGACAAATATTGCGACATCATCAGTTGAGGTGGTTGGGACATACGTTATGTTTTGTGATGTAGGAATATGTTGAAAGAAAGCTAGGGGCGGCAAAACCAAAACACGACAGAAATCTATGAAGTCAATGACAACTGAACTGAATCGTGTTGGTAAGTGTAGACTACCTGGATCGGATCCGTGAGTTGATAGTAATCGATTGTTAGAGACCCCGAATGACATAACTCAAAATCGTTTGCAGTTGCACAGGTGCATGCATTCTTTGTGTTCCGTCAAATCCAGATCCTCTGAATTCCTCATCAGTTTATCTTCCTCTATTTAACTTTATTTCAGTAGATTCTACTTCTTGAATAATATCCTCGAACCATAACCCTCCGGTTACTGCTAATACTTCTACTGCCTTTACTACTATGTGATTTTAATGGACAGTTGCATCTCGGTGCTAATATGGTGTGGCAACTTGAGCTGATGTTCGTACGTACGAAGATCTACGTTGAAACTAACTGAATGACTGACAAATGTCACATTATGTCTATTTGAACTATTATTTAATTGACCTTTTATTAATTTCATATAAAATACCTTCACAAGTATATGCGAGCAGATTGTTTAAAATGCGTAGTGCAGATACATCACATTCTTCGGATCACTTCCATCTTCTCACTCTTCTAAAAGAAGGAGTAAAAGGTTTATGGTCCGTGAAGAGTGAATTTTCGGCCATCCTTAGGGGATCGAAAGTGTTGTACAACACAAAACACAACTGAGGGGTCCCTCCTAAAGTCTTTTATCTCGATTCAGCATCCTAAGGCCATCCAGAGGAGAATGCTAAAAGTGCGTGGTATCGTTTACCTATTTTTTGTGACTCCTACGATTACTCAGATAGATGTTTTGACTGAGATATCAACCAGTACTTCATTGCCGAGGTGCCTCGACATAGAAGACCGAGCAACTAGTTATTTCACTGTGGAAAGTACTGTTGTTAAAAGGATATTATAGTTAAATGAAGATATTGTTACTGTTGTCTTTCTTGGAACTGTTGAAAACGTATGGTTCTTTTGGCGGTCTTTGCAGTTTGGCGCGTGCGTTTTGAGTGGGAGAGCGTCTTACAGTATCTTCCTTTCGTCCCGAACATTCTCCCTTGCCTGTACATATAATGAGGATTATAAAATCGTCTGAAACTGTAAAGGTGCCTCCAGGCATTAAAGTAAAGGCTATCAAAAGGGTGGTTTATGTCAAAGGTCCTCGTGGGTCGCTGAAGCGCGACTTCGGTCATTTGTCCCTTGACATCAAGGTTTTCGCGAAGAAAATTGTTGTAACGAAGTATTTCGGCAATAGGAAAGAGCTTGCTGCTGTTAGAACAGTTTGCTCTCATATTGGAAATATGATAAAGGGCGTTACATCAGGATACCGTTACAAATTGAAGTCTGTGTATGCTCATTTCCCCATCAACATGATTCCAGCCGCCGACGGTTCCAGATTAGAAGTGCGCAACTTTTTGGGAGAAAAGTCCAATAAGTTTATCCCTGTTGAATCAGGTGTGAAGGTCTCTGCCACTGGAGTGAAGGATGAAATCCAAGTTGAAGGCAACGATCTTGAAAAAGTATCAAAATGTGGTAAGTGTTAAGCTTTTATTCGTTACTTTTTCAGCCGCTTTAATTCAGCAGTCCTGCAAGGTTCGACACAAGGATATCCGTAAATTTCTTGATGGCATATATGTATCTTGCAAAGAAGCTATTCAAGTTGAATAAATAAACTACAGCTAACCTCGGCACATGACTTTTGATTATTTGGGCTTGATTTACATCGTTTATTGTCGCTTATTGTGTTGAAGTATTGTGTTTGCTCGTTGATGGTACATTAGTTAATTCATGCCTTTCAAGTGGGTCGTTGTGGACAACAGATCTCGGATGCCTGACTTTTTATAGTATAAATCGGTTACTAAATGTGATTTCCTATGTTAAGACAATATAGATAGCTACCATTCATCACGAAGCCACCATGCTGACAAGTTAGCTTGTGTGTAGAGTTGCGCTGTCCAGAATTATGGTTTCTACCTTTCTCTTTAAAACGCCTGCGTCTTGCTGGACAATACAAACGGACAATGTTGTCCAAATTCACTTGTTTGTCGTCTTGCACATCTCTGAACTATCCCAGGGGCTTCCAGCAGGTAATCTAATTGGTGTCGTGTATACTTTGAGGGAGTAAAATGCAGTCTGAATTCGGCTAAAAAAACGGTTGGAAGAATTAACCGTACTTAAGTATACGACATTCATTGCGTTCGTTCAAGTCATTTGTGACGTCCTTCAACGGGTTCGGGTAGTGTCGTTAATTACGCGATACAATTTTAACAGCCTTCCAGGTGAACATTGTAGTAAGCACACATATTGGGATGAACTGTTAGAGCAAGCAAAATGTCGGTAGCGTCTCGTCCGCCCACGTGCATGACCTACCTAACATATCTAACTTCCAATTGTAGTGGATAGTTCATATGTTAAATATCTTGCGATAACTAGATTGGTACACTCGATAACATGTAATCTCGACCATAATTGACGTTAGGTGGGTGAGGTTACTAGAGTTCATAGCTTATCTTTAGGTCATCTAGATACATTTGATTCCCCACTTGGGTAGAAAACAGCACTTCTGTGTCTAGTCATAAGCTTCCATGAATTAGAAGGCAGTTATGTTCCAGGGCGTATATGTATTTAGACTTTTCTGAATATGTCGTCCTCGGTACAGGACCTTATATCTTAGTTTTTCAATTTCATGTCGGATTATGATGCTACTTACATGCAGAAAGAATTAAATAACTTGATCACATTGCTTAATCAGATAAAGAATATAGTTGTGTCTAAACAGAGGTCTAACGAGAATTTGTTATCTTAGGTATTCATCCTGTTAGTCATGTTCTGCAGAATATTAAATTTAAACCAGTACTGTAAATTCCATGTCGCTTTTGTAGTTACTTGATTTGTGCGAAGTAAGTTACCTTGTCACTGTTGTGTTCCTGGTGATACTGCATTTATTCATAGGTGTTACATAGGGTTTTGTCCCTTTGCCTACTGTTCATCGACATACGATTCAAAGTGTAGTTTTCTAGTTAACCCTGACACTAGTTTGCACAATAGTAATCCTGGATTGTGGCTATATTTTTTTAATATTAGGTATACTGCATATTACTGTGAATGGTCCAAGAATATTTAATAGATGGCGAAACTGTAACGTTATTAATATTTTAATGATCCAAGTATTTCCTGTTATTCACCGGTCAGTAGGCCTTAATTCAACAAAAGTAAATGGATCAGGTTAGATTAGTCGTCTAATAATGTTTCCTGAGAATTTTGGTGTTGTGTTTTCCTTATTTACTCGTGATTGGTAATTTGCTGAAGATGTGCGTTGTATAGAGTCGGTGCTGCAGGCCTCGTAATTTACAAAGGCCGACTATCAGCAGCTTTTGTGCTCGCCCAACATGTTCTTGAATTGTGTAAGATGATTTTTTCAGATGTTAGCTATCAAACTATACATACGAAGATAAGCTACTAGTTCGTAGCATTTTAATGCAAATGAACTAAAAGGCGGGGATTGTATTAACAAATAATCATAATAGGCAACCTCTGTACTTGAATTTCTGGTTACTGAAATGTATATAATTCATAAAATGGAATTTCGTTTTTAGATTAAGCTGTTTAATCCTTTCGAATAGACGAACATAAAGCTGAAAGTTAATTTGTTACATATCAATAACAGGGAGTGTTGGTATCAAGTTCCTTGATTACTGTCAACTCGACGCTTATTTAATTTTCTCTTGGTGTTGGTGCGGCAGTGCAAAACAGTAAGATTAATTTGCTCATATTTCATTGAGATACTTAAGTAACTCGAGGTCGTCAGTAGTATGACACTTGAAAAAGATGTGTCCCACTACCTGGTTTAGCCTGTGAGAATTTATTGCCACTTCTTTGGTGATGGGATTACCATTTGTGACTACGGTAAATGTATTTGTTAGCTCATGTCCTTATTTCTATGTGGCGTACGTATAACAAAGTTGTTTACAGAAAACTTAGTTGTGTATGATGCTCATTTGTGGTGTTCATTGATCATGTTGTTCACAAATTCTATAGTTTAACATTACATTTCAGTACTCATTCGAAAATGAGAGGGTAAATGTAAAAAGCTGTATAGGTGCATATTAGTTGAACCTAAAAACAGAAATTCAGGTTAGTGAATAAGAGATATTGATGTTTCAATAACTATGCAATCTTAATGGTAATGCCGTGTAAATCGTAGCGTCTGATATGCAATTTTCACGGTGTCTT